ATGATCCCTGGTTTTACTTATACGTTATTCTTACAGAACTAGTACCCAGTTCCTTTTCCGCGGAGCAATGGAACAGTTGCTCAGAGTTCATTATTGACTTGAGAGGCTTCAAGGTAAGTCCTTCCCTGATTGCAGATGTTTTTTCAATCATTTAGAATAGTCTTTCTCTGACACTTGACGCTTTTTCCCTGTAGAATTACTGTGGGAATTGAGCCTGAAGATGTTTGCAAAACGCCTCAATGGGATATGGTTTTCATCACCAAAACAATGTCTGGGCCTGTGACTGGCAACACTCATGATTGGAGCCTACAGAGATTGAAAGCACGTGATTACTCACCTTGGAAAAATTCGACATTTGAAAACCATTTTTTTGAGTAATTATTATCTAATTCAACTAATCATCAGTGCAGGCCCCGAGTTGGGACAGGGGTTCTGTGATACTTTTATTTCAATTTAGAGAAGAAATTTGCTTGAAATAGAGAAAGGAAAAGGATGAATAAACAACAATGTGCTTAAGGTTAAAAAATTGTTCTTCATTGATATGATGTTACAGAAAAGAGGATGATTGTTTCAGTTTTGATTATTTACCAGTACACAAGAAAAGAAATTTCAAGGCTGTCTTTAAATTGTACTAACCTTTTCAACAATCTACTACTGATTAAAACTTGTGGAAATCACAAAAATTTTGAGAGTCACTTATTTACTCCTCATGGTAAAACAATTTCTTTGCCATGGCTGTGCATCATTCACAATTTCAACTTACTTCATGCACTTTGACTGATTATCTAAAATGTTCTGCAGGGAGCTCCTTCATCCACCATCATTGGCCATGGCTGATGCATGGACAAAACCTTACTCAAGGGAATATGCAGCCTTCCCAGCTCCATGGCTCCGTGCCTTCAAAGTTCTGGCCTCCTACCCACAGGTAATCATGCCAGTTGTTGTTTATATAACATGTTTCGTTTGAAAATCTCACTTCAACCAGTGATAAACAAATTTAAAATATATTAAATAAGTACAAACTTCACCTTTAAAAGTTGGTTTTATAGGACTAAGTAGACCTTTAGAATCACTTTTTAGATCGTATCGAAGTCATTTAAAAATATCTATCATAATAAGATTTGTTTTCTGTTGGGCTTATCGTGCTCTGTTATCGAAACACTCATAAATATCTAGTCACACGCTTGTATATGTCTCGATGTAAGACGGACTAGTGGTTAGATTTAAAATCTACTTCGTGCTCTGTTATCGAAACACTCATAAATATCTAGACACGCTTGAGATGTATATGTCTCGATATAAGATGGACTGATTTTGTAGAGTTAGGTTAGATTTAAAATCTACCTCTTAATATATTCTTATGACATCCTTCTCATGATTGACCTTACCACCATTATCATCCCTTGTTTAATATTTTGTGCTACTGAATGTAATAGCTGAATGTAACAAATGTAAATGCTTAGACTAACAAATGTAACATGTGTATCAGGACGTGTTGATAATGTGTATGGTGACCGCAACCTCATTTGCACCCTTCTCCCAGCATCACAGGCTGTTGAAGAAGAAGCTGCAGCCACAGCCTAGACTGCTCTATTGACAACTATTTCCATTTCATGTTGTACATAAAACTCTTCCTATTCATACAGTGCTTTCACCTCTTGAATATTGCTTCATCATATGTGATAATGATGATAATCATCTCCTCTTAAGTTGAAAAGAAAAATCATTCACATAATTTCTGCTGCTATTAGGTTTTAGAAATGTATTTTAGGCCTATGTATCAAAGTAATGTGAAAAATAAATTTCATTCATATAACACAAGTGTAAAAAAGGAAAAAAAAAATCAGTAGTAGTTCCTTTTAATAAAAAATGCATTTGCCGTAATCTGTTCGTATAGATTTTATACTGTTGTGTTATTTCATTTGCCCCTCGTCACCAACTATGACTTACTGCGTCATAGTAAAGACCATATTTGGATAAAATTTGAGAGTATACTGTTGAGTTTTTCAATGTATATATGCCAATCTCAAGAGACAGTGAAAAACAAAGAATTTGCTATTTTGAGAGTAAATATAGTTCTTAAAAGCACGGACATGCAAACATGCTCTAACATGCTATGGTGTTTTTTATTTAATGGTTTGTATCTTCTACAATAAAATAGTTATTATTCTTGCTGAACCAAACCTACTGAGTGAAGTCGTTTGCTACTCCCATGAATTCTCCGTAACGTGGAACGCCTAGAGAAGATTCTCCAAACCTCAAGTTACTACTTGGTGAATTAGATGCAAAAGTGAAATCAAGATTAAAATACTATGGGTGTTGCTCCCTCCACCCCACACATCTCTTCCTCCACCTCCCCTTTACTATTTTGGCCCTTCCTCCACCTTTCCTTTACTATTTTGCCCCTTAGTAAAATTTTATTTTTAAAATTGTTGTTTTTTAATTTTATTCATTTATAACATATTTCACTGATAACCTACGTAGTTTCTTGTATGAGTAAATATTTTTCTACAAAGCTTGGTATGGAAAAGAATTATCAAACAATCTCTTCTGTTCTCGGTTGCAGTACTGGTCAGTGCGTTTATGGTGTTTGTGTGTCCGTGTCGGGGTTCCTCTCCAGGTACGAGTCATAATCCTTCCAATAATCCTAAACCCTAAATCCTTCCCTACTTCCAATAATCCTTTTATATCAAGCCATTAATCCGTGCATGAGCAGCAAAAACGTAGTAGTAAAATAAAAACGCAACGTAAAAGGAAACCCTGCCTATGGACGGATGACATCCTTCAACGGAGTCAACATCAGTTTAAGGCAAAAGGATGTCGACATCGTTTGTGCCTTCAACGGATGTTGACATCCGTTTACGGTGTCATCGTCCATAGGCAGTGTTCCCTTTTTACTTTCGTTTTTATTTATTTGATTTATTTTATTTACGTAATGTAATTTAAATTTATAATTTAAATGTTTATATATGGGTAGTTTGGAAACGTAATTAATTTGTAAAAATATGAATTTGTTAAAATAGAATTTGTTATAGGTGGGAAGAAGCTTAACGGGAAGGAAAGGAGAGAAAGGTAACCGAAAATGAAAGAGAGGAAGAGGTGCAGAGGGAAAGTAAATCAGAGTTTTTAAATAAAATTAAAATTATTAAAAATAATAAAAATAAAAAATTTTTTTTCAACTTTTGAGGATATAATTGTCATTTTAGAAGGATTCTACTTGGAATTTTAGAAAATTGGGGAGTGGAGGAAGAGACTGTGGGGGGGAGGGAGATAACACCCAACTACTATTATAGATGTACTTGTTGACCATGACCCAATCTAATGAGTCACAGTTATGGGTCCATTAGGTCAAAGATCCAATTGCCAACTTACCTGTGAAAAATTGAAGTGATTTTTGACTAAGTTACCTCATAAGAGAGAGTGTCCTCGATAGACATGAGAAGATACCCGTAAGTGACACCCTGGTTTAATGAGCGGCATTGTTATCAAAGTAGATATATCCAGTATTCGATGGTCGGCTAAGTATACCCGACAATAGTATCCTGTATACAGTATCATGTCATTGTTTTAAATAACTCAAAGAATGCAGTTAGCAGGGTCGAGGGACTCTCGACCACATAGAGTTTATTTTTTAACAATTTTTATTTTAAAATATCAAAATATATTTATTATATTTTTCTAGAACTTCTCATAAATTATTTAATAGTTTAGACTTTAAAGTTCAATATCTTGCATGTGATAAATAGGAATGGATAGTCTCAATCTTCCTTTTGGTTAATTTTTAATTCGATATGTCATGGTATATTGACTGAGTACCAGTTTAAATTCCGACTTTGTATTGTTTTTCATTATGAATATCTTCATAAATAAGGAGAAGAAAAAAAAAACATATAAAAAATAGTTATTTCTAGTTTGACATGGGTCTGATAAAGAAAATGAAAATCTTTTCCGTATGAAAATTATCTCCTTCTATTCATACCAAGTAAGGTCTCATTTATTTAATTTCCCTCAGTTTTTTTATTTGATTTGTATAATATACAATTATATATTTTAATTATCTATCTTAGTTAAATGATTTAGAATTAGGATAAGCTTAAATATGTAGCATCTCCAATTTTAGTCGGTTTAATTAATAAAATAAGACTTCATAAAATTGAAAAATAAAACGATTATCTCAACAAATAAATATAAATTATTAATACAGTTATCAAATTAAATATTTGTTATAATATATATATACATATATATATATATATATATATATATAATTACTATGAAAAACTACTAGATGTCCCCAAAGGAAAGTTCAGTTGGATCACTATCTTCCTCCACATATGCTTTAACACATACCTTTCATCTACTCACATTAATTAGATGATCATTGAAAAATAAATAAAAACACAAAGACACAAGGAATTACCAAAGGAAAACGACAAGGTAAGGTAATGTCCCAAAAGGTTTTTTTTTTTTTTTTAAAAAATTAAACCATATCAAATCTAAACTAAACATTTATAAAATATAATAACTCGTATCAACACACAAACAATTGACACTAGACTCAATTATCTGGATGCATGCCTTTGACATATGTATTTAATGTAGGTGTGCACTCGTAGTAGTATTTATATTCTACAGAATCCTAAACACAGTTGTTATCACTCTACTACTCACGAGGTTAATATTTTCATGCCTAAACTAAAGTCTAGAGAAAATACCTTTTGTCATTCTCTCCTCCACCCTATTTATCTTTATACGATTTGAATAGCTAGATACCAATTTTCAGAACTCTCGTATGTTAAAGCGTACACTTAAACAAAACCACAACCTATTCCTCCTTGGATCAGTTCCAACCATTCTCATATGAACATCACAAACTAACCATCACATTAACATTCACATAAACACACACATTAAACACATCATAAAAGACATAAGAAAACTTAGTTAAAATCCTTATATTTTCATAAGAAAATTTAGTGTTTGACAGTATACTCGGTCAACGAGAAGTGTTTGACAGTGCACTTTCTCAGCCACTAGATATGCTGCTCAACAAGTAGTATTTGACTGCACACTCGCTCAACCACCAGATCTGCTTGCTCAACGTAGTGTTTGACTGCACACTCGCTCAGCCACCAGATATGCTCGCTCAGCGTAGTGTTTGACTGCACACTCCCTCAACGACCAAATAGCTCGCTTAGCGAGAATACCACTAAAACTTACATATTTAAATTCTCTTAAAAGTCGTTCAGCGAGTATATTCTCGTTTAACGACTTTCAAGTCAGTGAACTCTATGATTTTGGCCTCGCCTAATGCTTAAGTCAATAACTCTCTGACTTTGACTTTGCCCAACAAGTAATGCTCATCCAACGAGTCTGCATAATTTTGCATAACAGAATTCTGCATATTTATGTCATTCCAACCTAGCAAAATCAATCTAGCACTAACCTTAGATGACAAATCAACCAACCATCAAATTATACATAATTCAATAACTCAATTTATCTAAAATGCAATCTCAAATACACATATATCAACATTTCAACATAGAATACTAAAGACAAGTCAAAAAAAACCCTAACTAATTTACAGTCATTATTCATTAGACAACTCAATTACACAAACCAAAACTATCATACAAGCATACAAACAACAATTATAAGTTGCCTATTAGTTAAAATCAATGTAATTAGCTTCCCTTACATGATAGATAATCAAATTGTTCTAGAAAGCCTAAAATAGATCAAAACGCACAAGAGATCATATATACTCCTACGAACAACGGAAGCACAATCAGGAAACACCATTAGGACCACTTATCAAGAGAGTTTTATAGAAGACTTAAACGCCACATGCAATCCCAAATAGCTCGCATGCAAAGAAAGACAAAACAAACCAAAAAGAGGAGCAGGAAACCAACTTACTCTATCTAAGAAACTGGTGGATCCAAAATTGAAGAGTTTCGCTACTAGGATCAATCTTATTGTCTAGTTCTTCAATCAGATGAATAGGGATGAAAAGGCCTAAAAGAAGAGAACTTAAAAGGTGTTTCTAAAAGAAGTATGATATGCTTAGTGAACTCATTTCATACCAAAATTGTTTATATTAAATAGTAAAATCTAATTATTCTTAAACTATATCACTTTTAAAATATCATTTTTTAAGTCTTTACATAATATATCTACACTATATCATAAATATTTTTTTAATATGATACATTTGTTAAGTAGGACACGGGAGAGGGAAGAAAGAGGAACAAGGAGGGAGAGGGAAAAGGAAAGGGAAGAGGGAGAACAAAAGGAAAGAGAGGACACAGGAGACAGGGAGGGGAAAGTGAAGGGGGGGGGTGGGGGGGGAGGGCGAAGGAGGAGAGGGAAAAAGGAAGAAAATTATCATTATTATTATAAAAATAAATATAAATAACTTTATAATTTTTTTGTTAAATACTTTTTATATAGTTCAGATAATTATAATTAAAATTTGTTTAAATTTTGGAAAAATGAGGAAAGGGAAACAGGAAAAAAACGGTTATTTTTTTTTTAAATTTAAAGAAAAGACATCATAAAAGTAATAAAATAATATTTAATTTTAAAAAATATTCAAAGGATAAATGGGAGGAAAAAAGAAAAAAAGAAAATATGAAAAATATGAAAAAAATATAAATGTAGTATGAATATAAGTATAGATTTAAATACTCTGTATAACGACATTTTAATCACACAATACTGAAAAAAAAAAAAACGATTGATTTCTCTAAAATTAGTAATGTGCTTTTCCTCTGTCCAGAATTTTTAATATATTTTTATTTTTACAGAAATAATGCATCAAAATTAATTTTTTATTCAACACCTACGTGTCACAAATAAAGTTGGAAGTGCAAATATTTAAAATAAAAGATGTAGGAAACAAATTTAGTATATTTTAGCTTTGCAGAGACAAAAAAATATATAACTTTTTCAAGAATTAAAAGTAAATTATCAAAATTTTAATTTTAGAGGACCAAACACATATTCGATCTAATTTAAAAGTAACGATTTAACTTTATATAGGATGACTAATTTAAAAAATGACATTTTAATTTCATATCCAAATTTTAAAAAATAAAAAAGATTAACTTTTTTTTTTTACATTGTATTATGTTCTCTCTTCTTCGTGGTTGTGGGAGGCAGCTGGAGTGTTGTGCCCTAATAAAGGATATTTTAGCCTTTTTGAAATTTAAATGGAGTGCACTTAACAATGATGGGGTGCAGGAAATGTAAACCACATGCGAATTCTGAAGTGGGCCCATTGTGTTTGGGTCAAGCCCAATCAAACCCAATTCCATTGGTAACAAAAACCTAGTTTCACTGAGAAAAGTAGTGGCGGCAAACTCCATTATCATGGTTCTCACCTTCATCCAAATTCCAAAACCCAGACAAGGCTTAAAGGTATTAGGGTTTTCTTTCTCGTATTTCTTCTTTCTCAATCTACTTTCATAGTATACTTATGATTATTGAAGTGATTCAATTTGCCTCCTTTCAATTGGGAAATGTGATTACCGTTGCAAAAAATTTCGCTTTAGATTGATATTTAATACGATTAGAGTGAGTTTTGTTTCTTTCTAAGCCTAGGCTCTGTAGCTTCCACAAATCCGCGCATCTTTTAATGCTATTTGGTTGTTAACGTTAATCTTTGGCAATTACAGTTAGCTTACGATTTCATATTCTACAGTTTTACGTGGTGTTTTTAGTAAATGTGTGGTAGGGATTACAATCAGTCATTTTGTGCTTCCTTTGAATTGTGATGTGAATGAGTTGATTCTTTTTGTTAGGTTTTCCCAAATGCCGTGAGTGAATTTTGAAGTTGAGATTTTGAGTGTTTTTTCGAAATGTGCCCCTCTAATCCCCGTTGCATTCCTTTCGAAATTTAGATATATGCGTAAAGACTAAAGGGGAGGAAGATGAGGACAATTTCTGGGCATTGTGCCTCGGTGAAAGACGTATCACTATCCAAAGCGGCGAAAATTCTGACAAAGTTTGTCTCTGCTGATAATGGTGCTTCACATATCATCAGTGCATATCTCCATCGAGCATGTGCTTCTTTCAGCGAGCTCAACCAGATCCACAAGGAGCTTGATCCCTCACACTCTCGTAAGAAGCACAAAAAGCACAGAACTGAGACTGGTACTGACAGCGGGAGGGTAGTGGAAAATTCCGTTCGGAGTGTTAATATTAACCAGGAGCTCAGCCTTGAACATGTAAAATCTATTGAATTGAGAAGACAGCAGACTGGCAATGAGAATACTGATCTAGATGATGACAAATCAAATCAGACAATGGTTAAAAGTAATCAAGAACTTAATGGTTCTGTTGGCTATGAGACAGAAAATTTGGGTGGGAGTGAGATGCTTAAGAAGAAGAAAAAGAAGAAGCTGGAAGTTGAGTCCCTGCAAAACGGAGATAGCGCTGTTAAATTTGAAGATGGGATAGATGATAGCAAGCTGCCTAATGGGGCGCAAGTTGCAATTGCGTCAGGCAGAGAACAGGGCAATGATGGTGATTTTAAACCAGAGATGGAAGAGGGAAGAAAACAGAAAAGTGCAAAGAAGAAGGACAAGACAAGTTATGAGGATGAGGTTGAGAATGAAAAAGGAATAGAGCAACAGAAAGATAAAGATATAGAAGAAAAACTATCCAACGGTATAGATAGAGAAAATGGAGGGCTCGGTGGCTCCCAGGACTCACAAATCAAGAAAAAAAAGAAATATTAGAAAGGAAAGGAGAATACATTATATGCTGAAGAGGGAAAGTTGGAACGGAGCAAGAATAGGAAAAGTGATGATGTGGAAGACAAACCAGAACATCCAAGTGGGGGTTTGAGTAAGAAGAAAATGAAAAGGAAACACAGTGGTGATAATAAAACTTAGGTGTTTTACAAACTTTATAGTTTGTTAATCCTTTTTCAAATTGTTGAGGAGATTTGCACTTGTATTGTTTGTAGTATCAGTTTTTGAACTACAATACTTCTATTTAGTCTTAAACAAATGTTGCTGCATTCAAAACATTGATTGCAATTATCAGCTATTGGTGATACTAAATTCATTGTAGACTGTGTAGATCAATCACCACTCACCGGGGATCATCGGCTCTTGTAGTTTACATATCCTCAAGGTTACTATTTTTTATTTATTGGAGAAGAAATATTTATTGTGTCATTTGAAATCCAGATATGAAGCAATTCACTGAGTGCTGCAGAATTTTTGCTAGGTACCTCAAAAGCCATTCTGAAACTTACTGAGCTACGATGCATCAATACAACCAATACTTCAATTGGTGTCACGAATCCATAGCATGTATGTATCAATGAAACATCTAATTTATATACTTATATTTTTATGATAATAATTTATAATAATGCATGTGATTTTAGTTTGTATTTATTCAATTAAAATTATATATTTATCATATTTTTAAGAATTTGTGTATATTTCTTAATATGCATATTATATATTGTATTCTATTATTTTTAAAATAAATGTATTACCTTATCATCTATGCATCATGTCTGATAGAGGTAATGTATCCAGGCATCATAGCTATTGAGTAAGTATGGTGTTTGCATGTTATTCTTGCCATTGTTGCAAATGTGACTAATTGTACACTGATTTTAATTGCACTGGGTCGAAAAATGTCTGAATCTGGAGTTCTTGGTTTAGAGATAAAAGTGTAGAACATAAAAATGATGTACTTTTTATCTTGTTTCTTCTAGTGTGAATTATTCCTTTTTTTATTAGATTATTGGCAAAACTCTAAAATGTTTTTTTTTCCTTATATATTATGTAGAGGTATTGAAGGCATCTTTACCCCGTTTCTTGAGTTTTTTTAAGTTGAATCACTTGTTTCAATTATAACCTGAATTGTGAATTAATGCAAAATTAAATGAATAAAAATCAAATGCCCAAATTCTGAAATCAATAAAAAAAAAATCCTGTATTCTGTTGTCCTCCTCTTAACCAACAATTTTATAGCTGGATAGTTTTCATTGTTGAATATATTTAGTGAAGAGTTTCCTAATAGGGTTAAATATGTTTTTAGTCCCTAAACTATTGGCCGTTTCTGGTTTTCGTCCCTCTTCCAAAGTAAGGTACAATTTGGTCTTCATTCTTTAGAAAAACGTTCGTTTTAGTCCTCAAAATTTTGTTTTTAGTCCTCGTTTTAGTCCTCAAAACGTTTGTTTTTTCGACTAAAACGAACGTTTTTTAAAGATTGAGGACTAAATTGTACCTTACTTTGGAAGAGGGACGAAAATCAGAAACGGTCAATAGTTTAGGGACTAAAAACATATTTAACCCTTCCTAATATAATCAAGTTTTTCTCATCTTATTTTGTTCAAGGAGATTATGAGTTTGACGTCACATCAAGACATCTTGGTACTATTTTTAAGGATAATGATATTTTTAAAACATTTTTTTAACAACATTTTAACACTCTCTAAGTATTATTCTGTGATTGGTTCATATTGGTGTTTATGATTATTATTATTATTATTATTATTATTATTATTATTATTATTATTGATTATGGAGTAATTTTGTACTAATCACATAATGATACGTAGATGATGTTAAAATGTTGTCAAATATTATTATCTTATTTTTAGTTAGAAAATTAAATAACATTTGTAATGATATTAATATCGATGATAAATCGATCCCGTATATTAAATTTGCTGTCAAATAACATTCCTGGTGTTGGGCCAATTAAAAAAATTGGGTCACTTTACCACTCAAATTGTCATTTTCTTTGGACAACTTTTCTCGATATGAGAGAAGACAAAAAATATTTTTCACTACTATGTTCTAAAGAAAAGAAAGCTAAAGGGGAAGTGATTTAACAAAATGAAAATAAGTATAAAAAAATTATCTATTATCATAGTAAAATATATGTCTGTGATTATTGTTCGCTTGATGCACTTTGGAAATAAATAATAAGGGGTGTTAGAATTTGGAAAACAAAAATTATAAACATCAAAATCTAAATGTTTAATAGATTTTTTAAATCAATTATACTGAACAATCAATAAAATAAAATTTTTTTTTTTTTTAAATTTTTATTTTATTTTTATTTTTTTAATTGGGAGATCATAACTATAAATGATTTTTAACCAACCAAGTGATAATTACGGTGAATTCAAACAATTTTAACCAACAAGGGATAATGTTACTTTTTGAAATTAGGTTAAACCATTCCCTTCGTTCTTATTTTTTAGAAAAATATTAAATTGGTCTTCGTATTTTTATGTTTTTTTGGTCCTTAATTTGAAAAAAAATGATATAGTTAGACTCTTGCTGTTAAATTAGCTCAAACGATGTTTGGAGATAATGGGGGTAGACATCCATAATGAATACATCAAATTTGATTTTGAAATACAATTCAACAAACATGTCAATAGGTGTCAAATAATTCTCCTCTTTTGTTGAAGTCCTAGATTTTTGGGAAAAAAGAAGGACTATTAGTGAAGATGTCGAGAATGGTTGGAGATTACTGGTCTTAGTTAGAATTTGTTGCAAATACATGTCAAGGAGGGAATGATTGCATTTGAGTACGAGGGAGGGAATGATTCACAAGTTAAAATGAAGATTAAGCTTACAATAAGAAGAAAAATAAAAGTCCATCTTTTAAACCCTTTAATTCACTTGTTCCTTGAGTAAGGAATTGTTTTCACCTTGTCTTTAGTAAGCCACAAATGTATTTACCACCAAGAGCTATGTTGGATGACAATTCTATGTGATCCACAAAGAAAATTAGGTGCTTCTCATATCCAATCTCTCTCCTTGAACAATTTTAGCATTTTTCCTTCCTTATTTTAGGGTAAAGTTGTAATTGGCACCTATTATTGTTGGTGTGGAAGAAGTCTCACTTCCTTGTTTCCTAAGGACCTCTTCTTTGTGTTGTGGGACTAGTCGAAAGCGTGTTCATGTTAGGTAGCTTCACAAACTAGATAGTTAGTTCTTCCCAAGCTGAGAATACCTAGGATACAAATGAAGCTTGTCAGGTTCAATGTGACCTCCAACTCTCGAAACTCTCAGTTCATTAAATCGACCGATTCATCTAAAAGATAACTTAGATTGACAACGTACATGTATGACTCTCTGAACCCTAGTTATGCTAATTGCTTTTTCAATCTCCAAACTTGGTAAATGGATCCACAACTTAAATATCTAATTTGACCACAAAATATGTTTTATTAAATAGTCACCATTTTCTATTTTAAAAAAAATAAAAATTACACATCACAAATTTCTTTATTAAACCACATAATTTTAAAACTCTCCATTAGTAAACATAATCACTAGAACCAATTTAACGATAATAATATGATTGTATCAATTTTTCTAATTTAAAAATCAAATTAAGACAAATAAAAATACAAAGACTTATTTAAGATTTTTCTATAAAAATAAAAACGAATTTAACCTTAAATTACTATACAACTCATATAAGCATAAGTAGGAGATTATAAAATTACTTTAACAATTTATCTTCGGTACATATGCATAAGTAGGAGATTATAAATTTGCTTTAACAATTTATCTTAGATGGTATAAATTTTATTTCACTATTTATGTTTTTAAGAAATTTTAAGTCTGCTTTCATTAATATTTTACAAATGTAACAGGTAATAAGTAAAATTAAATTTGTTACCTGTTACACATTATACAATGAGTATAATAAAATTTAGTTTTACTTATCACTTTTACATTTGTTAAATGTTAGTAACATTACTGTTTGTCTAGCTTTTTTCTGTTATTTAAAAGTTATTTTTATGAACACTTCCTATAGTGAAAAAATAGTTTCTCAGTAATTTAATATTAAAAGAGTACGTTTTTCACATTTGATTTTTTTTTTTTAAAAGATAACATTCTTAATAAACCATGTTTATCTAGAATAATTTTTAGTCAAAGCTTTTCACAAAAAAATTGTCATGGGATATGAGAATCCAACTTCTCAGAGCTATAATAAAAATTAATAAAAAATACATATTATTCTTCTTAAATTATATAATGCGATACTGAATTAAAACTTTTGTTAAAAATAACATGTTACCCTTTGATTCAAAAATTATATAGATATTTTCAATAATATTTTATAAAACAGTCTAATTTGGTCATTAAGAAAAAAATGTAATGTACCAATAGTCTTAGTAAAAAGTCGCTTAATCATTTAAGAGTTAAAATCCAAGTTAATTTGATATTTTTATTAATAATCTTATTTGTCAATTAATTATGAAATGTTTTGTTTTTTTTAATGAAAAATCGAGTTTTAAAAAATAAAGAGATTTGATTGATTATCACAAAAAGACAATTTAAGAAGGTTCTTGAAAAACAAATTAAATATCTAGGTCACATTTTAAATTAATTAAATTTAATTTCATTAAAGTTGTAAAAAATAAGCACGATTTCAATATTATTAAAAAAATAGTGTATGCATTTCACAATTTCTTCACAATAAAGTCCAACACGTTATACCACTTAACTCTTTTGGTAATAAATTTAAAATGTGATCCATATGTGTAAATTTATGAAAAACTTAATCTAAATACGGTAAAAATTAGTTAAGAACGATAAATACTAAGATATGACTGATAAAAAACTTTTCAATAATTTAAACTAAAAAAATAATGATTATTCGTCAATAATATTCAAATTTTATAAACGAGCAAGATATGACATGTAAATAATTTTATATTAATCATAAAATCTTTCACATTTATTAATCTTAAGAGAGAAATATGTAAGATGACCAGATGATAAGAATAAGTAAAAAAATTAAACTACAAAACTATAAAAATTAAGAGCACAAGATATCAAAATAAATGACTTCAAACTTTTTAAATCTTATTATTAAATATTGTAATTAAAATGTTATAAAAATGAATATTTTAAGATATATTTTAATTTTAATTTGACTTCTCTATTTCTTCAATTTAAGAAAAATCAAAATTGAATAAAATAAATGCAATAAAATTAGCACTTATGGTATGCATATGATAAAAAGTAAAAGTTTAAATGTTGGGTGTCATATGTGTTATATTATAGATTATAGATAATAATTTGTTTGACTACAATAAATACACTTCAATTAAATTCAAAACTTATCTCCACAGCCGTAATTATAATAATAATTACAATTAAAACGTATAATTAAATACTCC